CCCATATTTGTTGAACGACTAATTCTTGGTTACTTTGTTTCCATAGTTTCTTGTTGCTAATTCTTTCTGGTCATACTCTGAGAAAACCATCAAGTAACATCACTAGACAAGCTCTCGAGTGGAACCCAAAAGGGAAGTGGCGAGGGTGACTTGGAGGATGTCATGTGAAGAGGAGATGAAAACGTGTGGGCAGACTTGGAGCCAGGTGAAGACTCTAACAGAGAACCGAACGCAATGGAGATGCACGGCTGAAGCCCTATGTTCCTCTAGGAATTAAAGGAAACAATAATACAATAATAATAATTCTTTCTGGCCATATGATTTTGAGCATGAAGCGAAGACAGGTGTTGATGAAAGTCTGCAATGGCCTGTTGGAAATGCTTTTGGTGATACGCAGTGTAAGAAGAAATGACCAACTTGACATTGGTGTTGAAAATTCGAATCCCCCCCTTTAGTCAGCATCAATCAGCCTAATATAAAAACTCGGTTTATATTTTATTCATTCCAAATGTGACACATTCACACTTGAAATTTTTTCAACATTTAACCAATCTTTGTCAGTTTCATTGAAACAGCATTTGAAGGTATTTTTAGGGATGAATTAATTTCGCTAAGTATTGTATACAACTGGTTCAGTGCATTCACTTTGTACATAGATTATAGTTAGCAACATTGACCTTATATATATATATATATATATATATTGTTGTATAGCGCTTTTGAAACCAAAATATTTCCCAATAAATCAATTTTTTCCTAGTTTCACGTGATTTATTTAAGGATTTATGAAGTATACTTCATTTATTATTCTTATTTTGTCTATTCAGTTTAGTATATTACATATGTATATACTATCCATTTCCTTTCATTTCTAACGAAAAAGGATTTTAGTTCTTTTTGTTATTATTATCATTATTTATGTTATCCAAAAATATTAGATAATTTTGGAAGTATCTCACTGAAATACTGATAGGATGAAATTTTAGTTGCCACAGTCGTCTAGTGAAATTCGAACTTTTCCATTTTCAATGTTTTATTATTGAAAGTGTTGTATGAAAAAATAATATATGTATATATAAAAATAAATGACCATGGAAACACTTTTTGACGAATGGGTAAGTTAAGATAAAATGTGCATTTTAGGGGTGTATTTGATTTCTATCTAATAATTATAGCAATTAACTATTTACCATTATTATTATTATTATTTCAAGTTATCCTCTAGTTATTCTGTTTTTGTAGGTGAGGAAAATAGTACATCATATATGTTATCTTAATGTCTAATATTTTTTACCTTATTGTGGCGGATCAATAAAATCTCAGCCTGACAGTTACTGACAGATTATTAAAACATGCCTTTATTTATGTCTAACGAAGGGTAATAATGTGTAACATTATTGTCTGAATACCACTCGACAGTATTACACAATCTCTGATATTATAAGATTGAATATGATCTGATACTCCATAAAAGAAGTTAACTGGAGTTTCAGTGAGAAGTCATAACCAGTGAGGTTTACCAAGTCAGTTAAGAAGAAAGTTATTCGTGCTTGACACTGACTGGTGGTTGCACTGTATATATCGCGAATTAGCAGAAGTTGGAATTCAGGGGATTAGGTCTCAGTGGTTGAATGGTCTACGAACATGCCTTGTAACCGGTGGGTGCGTACGGATTAAGAGTCGAAGAGAAGTAGGACGAGACAGCTATCCAGTACTTCCTAACATCCCAGTGATTCTCTAACTGATGTCAGTCTGTGGTCAAACCTATCAGATTTTAATCCAGTTCTTTTATTGAAATTTCTACTTTTGTTATTATTAAGATCAATGGTTATTATTGCTGTTTTTATTGATATCAACATTATTATTATTATCATCATCATTTCTGTCACTTGTGTAAGTAACAACACTTAACTTTTATTTTTTTCCTTTACGTTCCCCAATGGAACATAGGGCTTCAAGCTAGTGGCTTGAAGTTCCTGTAGCAGCGTTTATTTTACAGGATGGAGTTGCTAGCCTCATGCCCAACCTTTCCTCTTCACCAGCATTATTTCCGGCTCAGTGAGGTAAAGGAGTGCGTCGGCTGGGAATCGAACCCCGGACCATGTGCATGGTCGACGAGCGTCCTAACCGCTATACCACCGACGCACAAAAGTTAATTGGTGGATGGTTACTAGCAGTGGAATCCAGGATGCGCATTTCATCCTATTGGGGTCTCGTCACCTGGATGTACCTTCATTCTTCAGTGAGTGATTATGTTCCCACCGAGGCTCGAACCCAGTGCCCATAGTTTCAAACGCCAAAGCATTATCCACTAGACCACCTAACGTTTATTATTAATAATTAAAGAACAAAGTTTATGCTTTATTCATTTTCTTCAGTGAATCTAACATTAAATTTCAAGCACTCATTGAGCTCTTTCAACGCTATAGGATACTCTCAGGTTTTTAATAAGTTATCTGTTTCTTCTATGATAGTTAGAAATCATAAGTCATTATTATTTAAGCTTTCTTATATATTTTGTCAGTTATGTCTTCTTATACACTATAGAGACTAAGGAAGATTTAATTATACAGCATATTTTGGATAACTTGTAAGGTTTTAACTTTGACGTTGGAGGCCTGCTTAAAACTTGGGCTACCAAAAGCTTCCATCTCTCTATTGCACATATTACCTCTCGTTCGGTTTGTTTTAATCGGTTAAGATATGACCCCTTATGGTATTACTTACTCTTGTGTGTATTTAAAACATTTACGAGCTTTTCATTCTCCTGTTCTTACTAAACTTGAGAGAAGGCTTGATTGTGGGTGGCAATGTGTTCCACTACATGAGATAACTGCTCTTCACTTGGGTCTCAAAATGTACTTCTGAACATCTTACAATTGACTTTCAACTAGATATCATGAATTCCTTGAAGGAGACAAAGCGGATATATCATAATGGAATGGTTTGTGCTTCATCACCTCAGAGAGCATTGTGTCGCAGGATATACTACGTCAATTAATATTTTACTTGAAGATGTTGTACGAAGGGAAAATATCATGCAATAAACTCCTCTGAAAATCGGGTGCATTTTATAAATACTACTCAGAATAAAGACGTTATTAATATCATTAACCATTTTATAAGTACTATCCAGAATAAAGATATTATTATTATTATTTTAATGAATTATCAATCTTGCCTAACTGAAAGTAGTTATAAGTACAGTTATTCCTTGTAATCATCCTAAGATTTTCGTGTTTATCTTATGTAATCCAGGGTTTTTTTTGTTCCATTAATCTTCGCGATATATATTAATATCAAAGACTCTCAAAAGAAAATTTAAGATGAAATGTGAAAGCGAACAATATTTTTTTTTTCAATTAGATCTCTTCATGCTTCATTGTAATATGCATACATTTGTATGTAAAGATATGCATACATAGTTGTGAGTATAAGCTGAGATGTAATTGAAATTCAAATCCTTGCAAACCAATACTTGAAAATTAATCTAAAGCTTATTTGTAACTGACTATAGAAGGAAGTTACCTAAAGCTCTAGTGAGAAGTCGTGGCCAATGGAGTTCATCAAGTTGGATGTGAGGACAAGTACTCACCGACGGCATTGGTTGACGGTGGTGCTACATCTCGCTAACCAACAAGAGTCAGAACTCGTTAGCCATTAGATTCCGTCTTTGTGTTTGAATGGTCAATGAGCTCATCTCTTAACTTGAGTGTTTGAGATCCGGTGGAGTCATGGGTGTGTACTGCTAACGAGTCCCAATGGAGATCAAGACATTCAAGTGTCGGATTTCAGGGATTTGATTTGATTAGCCACAGGATTTCATCATAAGCTGACATCAGTTAGAGAAGAATTAGAAAACCTGGGAGTACTAGACAGCCGTTTCGCTAGTCTACTTTGGGACTCTTCATCAGTACGCACCCACACTGTGGGGTTCGAACCCAGGACTTTCTGGCTACAACGCGAGCTAGATCCAATGGTTCATCAATTCCAAATTCTACCAATTCACGATATAGCCCTACCACTAGCTAATGTCATCGGCGAGTATCTGTCCTCACACCCGACCTGCTGTACCCCATGAGATAGCTGTCCAGTACTCCGTTGTTTTAAGTGCTTCTGTAACTGATTTCAATTCCTGATCTGACCTGAAAGAAACCAAATCTCTGCAAGCCAACACTTGAAAATAATATTGCGCGACTAAATATAAGTAAGCCAATCTCGGTTTGTCTCTTCCTAGTTTGAAATTCCATTGGCATTTATTTTTGCTGGTTTTTTGTATAATATACAAATTGTTAAATGACTCACCTTATCTATTTTATTCAACTGGTGTTTTGAAGATATAAGTAGACTACTTTTCATAGCGCTTCATATCTGTTTACTGTTCACATAAACAAAAGTAATAAACTGTTTACGAGTCTTTGTTTTGTTTTGCAGTTGTAATGAAGCTGAACATACAACTTCTCTTTTGTTAAATATCATCTTTATAAAGTACACTTTTTCACCCTTGTCTTAATAAAGAATGGTGGTATATATACATGTATGGTGCTGTTTCAAAAAGAACTAATTCATAGAGTGATTACGAAATAACATTTAGTCATTATTTCCCCGGCCTTTATTTATTAGAGGTGCACCTGAAAATCTGTTTTTCTGATAATGGAGATGTCTAAAGTGGCAGTTGTTTGCGATATCTTTCATAACCCTATTCTTAATAACAATGGTGTTTGAAGATCACAGTTCGACAACGTTATTGCGTTTCACTAAGGAGCTGAAAGCAATAACCGGAAACCTTAAAACAATGTCTGTTTCATTAACATTGCAGATATATCTATCAAAGTGGCAGATTTTCCTTGAAATAATACCCTTTTTGTCGTTTTAAGGGAAATCGGGCGCTGATTGTGTTCGTAACATACATTTTAGTGACTCAAAATCAATCACATTTTATATTTTTGACACTGTATCGTTAAAATCCCATTTTTTTCACATTTGTGTTAATTTTGTAGGAAACAGGGGCTTCTGGAGCGCCTCCGAGAAGTTTTTCTTCTATGAATATTTATGCTTTGTCAAGCTCTTCTTCAATCCTTGGTCCTACAGCTAATTTGGGACCAGGAGGAGAGGTGGCTGACGCTCCTCCATACAGTCATTACAGTCATCATATTGAATACACAACAGATGATCTCCGTTCAACCTTAGAGGATAGTAGAAGTGTACGTGTGGATGAAGTAAATCATTTACTATCTGGTATTGTCAGTGGTGCTGTTTGCCCAGGTCCAAGCGCTAGAAGACTTATGCATATGCAACAACAAAATATCCCTTCAAATCAGTTGAATAGTAGACAAAGGCAGAGTATTTGTTCTGGTGCAATGTTGAGTTCTACAAATCAAGCCTCTCCTTCACATCAAACACAGGTGACTTCAGCATCACGTGAGCAATTTACAATACCTATGAATCAAATCTATACTACAGCAGTAAATGCACGATCCGTAATACCATCAACAACAGTAAATGCTACGAGTTCGCCAAACATTGTTACTCGTGATTCTTCTGTAGGTCCATCTTTGGCTCGTAGTTTCAGAGGTAAGTGGGAAATGATTTTTCACATTTTAATTCTGTATTTATTTTGAATAAAGCAAGAACAACAGTGTGGTTTGTGCAGTATAATATGGTACCATCAATGTTTATTTCGTTGGTTTCTCATCAGCTGCTGCTTACAGCCTAAATGAATTATTGGCAAGTTCATGTACACAAGAGTTTTAACATACTTGAAAATTCTTCATGGTGTCAGTTGACCGAAGGTTCCGTAATTAGTGAACAGTGCTCAGAAAATTGAGCTTATATAGTTTTTACACAGGCAGTACAAGTCCATCGAACAACATGCTCTTTGGTGCAGTCAAAAGTCGACAGATACCCTTCTCATGTTAACTCCAACTGTGTATACAAATTCCCATGTATCTGCGGGAGCAGTTACACTGGGAGAACAGAAAGAAGGGCACACCTCCGATTTTCTGAACATGTACGGAAAAGTCTACGTCTCAAGGAAACAAACGCTTATAATAGCGCTATTACCAGACATCTCCTCAATACGGGTCATGAGGTGGAAATCGCAAAATCCTTTAAAATTATCAATAGACAAAGGAGCTCGATTCTCCTCAAGTTTTCCGAAGCAATTTCTATCAAACGCTTGAAACCAGATTTATGTGTTCAGAAAGAAGCAGTTATTAGTCTTTCCTTGCCCTGGTAACTGGTAACCTCACTCTCTTTTGACATAGTGTAATTTTGCTTGTCTCTTGTTTCTATGATTTGAGTTGAACTCAGTACATTGTTACCTAATTTATTAGTCACTCAGCATCTTACGCATCTCTCGTCTTTATTACGTAACTCCTTTGCCATTGTATGCATACATTTATTTTGTTTAAACTTGAACTGCCTGTGTAAAAACTATATAAGCGCAATTTTCTGAGCACTATTCACTAATTGTGGAACTTTCTGTCAACTGACATCATGTAAAATTTGCAAGTATGTACATAAACCTCATAATTTATTTAGGCTGTACGCGCGCAGCTGATGAGAAGCCAACGAAATAAATGATGGTACCATATTATTCTGCACAAACCACACTGTTGTTCTTGCTTTATTCAAATTCATTAAGGGGAATTAATGCATGAGGTTTCTGTATTTGTTCTTCTTCTGTTTTTCTTTTCACTATACATAAATACTTCGACTTTCTATAATTCCCTTATAAAGCTATACTGTAATTTAAATATAGGTATATGCAAAATTCATCAATGAAACTGTCTTTCTACTGTAGATAAGAAAGACACTTCTACGGAGTTTACACCATAAAAACGTAATTGTATTAACATTTAAGATGCTTAGCCAGTTTAAATGCAGAAAAGGAGTTAACTATCTATTCATAGAATAATCTTGATTATAGAAGTAAAAATCAATTTTTTACGTCTTAAAGTTCAACCGTATCATTCAGAATTTCACTTTTACTCATTGAAGTGCCTTGAGACTATCTCATTCATCTACTTTTCCTCTCTTTTTTTTCTTAAATTTTGATAATGATATGTTTTAGGATATTTTTGTAAGTTATATTGCGTATTTTTTCCCTCATCCCGTCGGTGTTTTGTGTGTTGCACATATCATTAATCAGTTGTAGCCTAAATTCGTTGAGAATTATATCATTTCTAGACTGCTTCCTTTGCTTTCTTTTATACTTTGGTGTGTATTTAACTGAATATCACGTCTTATATTATTCCACCTTGGTGATTTCTAGCCTAGCTTTTGGTGTGATTTAATAGAACTACTTTGTGTGATTCTTTTTCACTTATTGGCTTGGGTATCTGATTCTCCACTATCGGGTTGTATGTCTTTTTTGTTGTTGTAGACCCTTGTGCTATTTATTAATCAATGGGCATATTTTCTTTCATGGTGTTGGTGTGTAACTTTTAGCTTAGTGCACGATTCTCCCCATGACTGCTTTAGTTTTATCAAATGTTTATTTTGTCTATCTTATTTCAACTAGTTGGATAGTATTATTTGTAAATCAATTTGATTCTGAGGTTATACAATGTGAATTTTTGATGTACTCCCATGTGTTGTATTTTTGAACAAAGCAAGAACGACAAATCTATCCGAATAATATAAGCTCGCCTTTAATTATTTCAAAGATTCTTCTCAACTGGCTACACTTTTCTCGCGATGACACGGAGTATTTAGTAGGAACTAAGAGTAACATAATTCCGGAATGATGTACGTTGTCGAATAATTATGAGTGAAAAGGACTGGCTATTTATAGGACAATTAGACAAATGTGTTTAGAAGCAAAAGGACAAAGTAGGTAGAAACTAATTTTAATTTTAGAATGAGTATAACAAATAGTGGGTTACGTAACTATTGAAAGTATGCTTTTATAATTAGCAAGAAAAAGGGGGTAGGGTGAGTCATGTTTAGAAGAAAGAATAAAATTTTATAAACAAGATAGAAGAGGAAGTAATAATAAAATTTGTGTGCTTTGTTGTCACCATGGCAGTGCTAGACTCACCACTGTTTCTTTCTGGGTAGATCTCTCTGTCTGGATTCAACACAGAACTTGGCACTGAAGTGCAGCAGTTCCAGCTGCCACGTTCCAAATAGCACACAAAGGTAGACAAGAAGGTGAGTGAAGAGAATCCATAGAGTTTTGACAAGTATTAGGGTGAAACAGAATGAGTAGTGGTAGAAAGGAATATGAAAGATTACAGAGACTGAATACATCTACGTAAGCCATTGACAACGATTTCGAGCCATGTCACCTATTGTCTCCAGCCATTGATTTTTAGAGTCCCGAGGGCGGGCCCCAACCCGGAAGTGTGCATCTCCTTACCTGACTCAGTTTAACTGTCAGGGATTTCATGGATTGATGCCATGTTTTTTTGGCCACCACTTACTCTTTTCCAACCTGCACTTATATCAGCTAGTAATGCCCGTCGGGAGAGGCGATGGTTAGGCATGCGCAGCACATGACCCAGCCATCTCAATCTATGTAACTTTATAACCTCGTCGATTGATTTTCCCTCTTTGCCCAACACTCTACGCCTAACGTCAACATTACTTACCTTATTACACCACCTAACGTGAGAAAGAGATCGCAGACATCTATGATCAAAAGCAGTCAACCTTTTCATGTCTTCAACTCGTATTGGCCATGTTTCAGAGCCATAGAGAAGGACGGAGCGGACTGCTGAGCAGCACACACGTCCCTTGGTTGATAGCCGGATGTCACGCCTACGCCAGAGATGGAGTAAGTTAGCGTACATAGATTCGCATTTAATCGTTTGATGGCGATTGCCTAAGCAAAGTGTAGCAAGCTAGGTTTGAATAAGGCATTCAGAAGACAAATTTCGTGAGATGATATCATTTCGTAGTTCCTCTACAATCGCTTCACAATTAGCATGGTTCATAATAATCAAAATAAAATGCATGACAATTACTCAGTTTCTTTTGTCTGTTGATTATAAAAACACGTCTGCTGTAGTTACGTTACCCATTATATTGTTACACCGTTTCTAGTTAAACTTTGTTTGTACCCACAAGAAATTTATTGAACTCTGTCCTTTTGCCTCCAAGCACATTCCTATAATTTTTCTATAAATAGTCAGCCTTTTCAACTCCTAATTATTGATCATTCCAGGCATATGTTACTCATAGTTCCTATCAATTACTCCTTGTGGTCGTAGAAAAAGGATGTTTGAGTCTTTAATGTAGTAATTTACATTTTTGTATTGTTCAAGTTGTAGTCAGTTGAGGGAAATCCTCGAAATAGTAAAAGATGGGCTAATATTATCCTGGTACATTTATCGTTCTTGCTTTGTTCAAATTTATTAATAGGAAGAATTGTATGATGTTGTATTTTATATTACTATGACTTAAATTGCACTGCATTCCTTAAATCATAACATAAAATTAGATTTTCTCAAGGCAAATGAAGAAAAGTAGTGCGGTAACTAGGATCACTCATTAACCAACACATTTTTTGAACTACGCAAAGTTATATACTCCTAAGGTAATTTTTTGGTGGTGTCGGTGGTTCAGCGGCAGAACGCTTACCAACCACACAAGATCTCCGGGGTTATACCTCTGGTCGACTCACTCCTAAAACTCGCTAAGCCAGTACTACGGCCCGTAAAGAGGGAAGGTTAAGCGTGAGGCCAGCGACCTCACACCGTTAGGATAAACACCGCTGCTACTGAAACTTTAAAACTCTAGCTTGAAGCCCTGTGTTGCAGCCGGAACGTAAAGGAATAAAATTAAAGTAATTAAAAAAGATAATTTTTCAAATGCACTATATAAAGTCAACTAACATTTCTCAGTATATATATATATATCAAATGTATTCGCAGAATATAGACTATCACTAATTTATTTATTGCTGGAACTGGGAAGTAATACGGCGCAAGTGACTTTTTTCATTTTGCATGTCAGCTCCCAGTTAGTTCTATTTGTTTACTAATAGGATGAATAAAATGTAGGTTTGAATCTTATCGACATATTATTTGATATATTTACAGCGTACAATAATGCCGCATATTCTAATGACCGTATTAAACGCTTGGTAAGTAGATTTCCAACAATTCTAAATAGTAGTCAGCCTCAAGGATTATCACCGGTAGTCTGTTTGGTGTACCCGATCAACTTCTTATGAGGTCGGGGGTGAGTTGAGCGAGTTAACAGTGAAGTATTTAGCTTCATCACTATTTAATGTAGATTAGGATTCCGGTGGTAACTTTTGACCGTTTCTACAGATTTTAGACACTTCCAGCTGGTGAGTGTCCCAGTAGCTGAATAGTCAATGTGATCTCCTTGGAACTTGGACGGTCCTGGGTTTGATCCTTGGTGGGATCATGGGTGTGTACTGATGAAGAGAAACAAACCAGGACGAAACGGTTGTTCAGTGTCCGTCAGTGGTTCATTGGTGGAGTGCTCGTTTGCCGGCCGGTGCACACCTTTACCCGACAAAGAGAAAAGGTTGGGTGTGATGTCGGAAAACCCACCCCGTAGAAAAACAACACCACTGTTACTGAAACTTCAAAGCTCAAGCTAGAAGCCCTATTTTCCACTCGGAACTCAAAGGAATAAAATAAATATAATAAATACCGATAAGTACTGATAGTCGCTAAATAAACTTCAAATAGGTTTATTGTTGAGTGAATTTTATCATCCAACATTAAGTGTATACTTTAGTGTATGTTCCTGCACTTCATGAACTGTAGACTAACCCATATAATGGATTATCGCTCTTAGGTATGAGAAAAAAAACAATATTAAAGAATATTTAAAATGGGGAATAATAGAAAAGGAAAAACTACTCTCCTTAAAGCTGTCCTGAAAGGAATCGTATTACAAAGTCTTTTAGTAATGCTTTAGTTCATTTCATCGCTTCTGTTCAGTTCCTGTTTAAAACATACATATATATTGTAAATTCTTTTATCAAATGTCAAACCATTATTATTTTTATGTATGATAAATTAGGCATATTTATGTTTATCAGTTCTATTAAACAGTTGTTTGTTTTTGTAAAGTGGATCCAACATTCATATTCGTATTCCTTCATTAATATATGTATTTTTTAAAATTTTGCACCCTCCCCCTTATCTCCTTTCGCTTTTTTGCCTATTCTTCTACTTTCTCCCTTCATTCTTGTCATTTATGGTGGAAATGAAGCATTATAATGTGATGTGATGCCAATCTGATATTACATAAACTGGGTGTTTTTTGGGATGAATTGACAGAGAGGAAACCACGTAGATATTTTCTAGTTGTTGTTAATTTCTTTCATTATATAATGATAAAACCATTTTTATAACCAATATGTACTTGTTGAGTGCTTCTGTGTGTTTGTGTGTGTGAGTGTGCGCGCACTTGCCTTCCTGATGGATTACACACCAGATTAGATATTAATGCGTAGTTATCTTATGGTATTCTTGTTGTCTGTGTCTTATATAGCTTACACTTTTTTTCCTTATTCTATTACGATGGCAATAGCACTTGGTGTTACAAATGAATCCATAGTACACATGCACATTTTCGCACACGTACATATTGGCTTTTTTCGTTATCACTTTTAGATTTTCTTCTCTCATCAGATACCTGATGTAATCTACTGACTTTTAAGTTACACCGTAATTATATTATCGTTTTGATCATGATATTTTGTCGTTATTTTTTTCTAAAAGTGCAATTAGTCTTTCAAATGTGTTGTTAAGACATTGAAATTGACTGAATAACCGACTGCTTTCAACGTGGAAGTTTGCATAGATGTGCAGCAGTTCGAGTTGCCACACTCCCTTTATGAAGCACACAAATCAAGAGAAGAGAGTAAAGAGAGATTCAAAAGAGACAGAGATAATAAATAGAAATGTAATGCAAAAAGAATAGTAGTAATATGGAAGAACAGTAGGTTTTTTTGGATATGTATGGCAAATCACAAAGAGTGAATGCATCTGGGCCAACCATTGAGAACGATTTTGAGCCGTATCACCAGTTGTCCTCAGCCATTGGCTTTTACCATCCTGGGGACTCAAACCTACGTGGGTGGCTCAAACAAACTGTTATGGATTTGATTGACTCATGAAGCCATGTTTTGGTTTGATCACCAATAGCTCTTTCCCATCCTGATCAACCCTATATCAGCTAAGATTGCGCATCGAGGAAGGTGATGGCTAGAAATGCATGCGTAACACATGTCCTAAGCGTCTCTCTCAATCGGTGTAACTTCACAACCTCGTCGATTGATTTCCCACTTGACTAATGCCCAATATCAATATTGCTCACCTTATTTTACCACAAACAAACGTCATGTCAGTTCTTCTATACGGATCAGAAACTTGCCGGGTCACAAAAAATATTTCCAACAGGTTACAGACCTTTATCAACAACTGTCTTCGCTCTATGCTGAAGATCAGATGGCCGGAAAGAATCACCAACAAGAAACTATGGGAACAAATAAAACAAGAACCAATCGCCCAACAAATATGCAGGGGAAAGTGGAGGTGGATTGGACACTCGCTGAGGAGGCCGCTGGGTGACATCGCGCGTCAGGCCATAGCTCGAGTGGAACCCGAAAGGGAAGTGGCGAGTGGGACGTCGAAGGGTGACATGGAGGAGATCGTGTGGAGAGGAATTGAAACAGTACGGATTGACATGAATGCAGTTGAAAAGAACAGCAGAAGACAGAAGCAAGTGGAGACGTGCAGTTGAAGCCCTATGTTCCACTAGGAACCCAAGGGAACAATAATAATAATGATATTTTACCACTTGACACGGGAGAAAGAACACAGACATCTATGATCAAAGACAGCTAGTCTTTTCACGTCTTCCACTTTCAATGGCCATGTCTCACTGACAGCCGTAAAAGAGGACAGAGAGAACTGTTGAGCAGTATATACACCGTTCAGTCGACATTGAAATTGACTTTCATTATGTTAATTGTTTGTTTCATAATAGTCAGTATGACTTGTAAGTTATGAATCTTAATTGGGAATGACGATGATATAACACTATGCTGTACACTGACTTACATTAATTGCATACTGTGTATCAGAGCTTCTCCTCAATCGACCAATAATGTTTTATAATTACTTGAAATACTAGATAATCTGACTGCTAACAAATTCCAGCGCTGTCATTTCTGCATTGTTATCAGTATATGTGTGTTATTTGATAGTTTCATCAAGGTTGGGTGTGAGGACAAATACTTATCGATGAGACTGGCTGGCAGTCCCATTAAGATCGTGAATTGATAGGAGTTGGAATTCATGACCTAGTGAACTCCACCCCCGTGGTTATATGGTCAACGCGTTATTCTCGTAACCTGAAGGTACTGGGTTTGACTCCCTAGTAGGATCATGGACGCGTACTGATGAGGAGTCCCAAGGAGGGAGGACGAAACAGATATCCAGCACTCTCAGGTTTTCGATGGTTATGTAACTGATATCAATCAGTGATCAACAGTTAAAACTACTTTCCCTTGTAGCGACAGAAACAGACTTTGGTGTTTTCTCTGCGTATATAAATCTCAAGGGATAGGAAACATTTTTCATCCGGGAAGTCATGTATACGATTCTCAAGGGGAAATTAAAAAAAATTTATCCATCAAATTCATGGCTTCATGATTTTCAAATAATAAAATGTACAATTTTTGAAACAGTGCATTTCAATTTAACATTCATGAATTGTTAAAAAAAGGCTCAAAACACTCCCCACATATATTTCAGATTTACTCACAGAATACAGACAATCCCCATTTTTTTGTTTGTATTTAAAACTCGTGGCTCCTTTGGCTTAGTGGACAACGTTTTGACGTTTAAAACAATGAGTGTCAGGTTTGAGTCTTGATGGAAATATCATCTATCACTCACTGATAATTTCAAGTACATCCTGCCGACGAGTCCCTCATAGGAAGAAATACGTATCCTAGATTCCACTGCTAACCACTATCTACCAAAACAAGACCGTGCTAATCTTCAGACGTCATCTGACTGTCCGTACTAGGAGCCGACATGTCAACGGTGACTGAATAATACGGTCCAGGGCCAAGTTAAACTTTAAGCACCACTAACTACCAATGGAGTGCGACCGCACTAATGACTTTGAAAAGCTCACTGAGCAAGTTAATGGAATCCGGCAAATAATACTGCTATCATCAATAAAATATGCTCATCGAAGTATTATGTTATTAAATAGGATATCTGGCAAGTTTTAGTTTTGGTTTGAGAAAGATTAAGATACTCTTTAAGCCAAGGACAAGTTTGGGTTAGGTTAATGTAACAAAGGCGACAATAGGTTTCGTTCGAGTTAGATTACAGTTAGTTTAGGGATATTTTCACATTAGGATTAGGTTCAGGAGAGATTAGGTTTGTTGTCAGGGTTAGAAGTCCTAAATAATTACATGCATAGAATATGGTTAAATTACTCTGTTGACATAAGAATAGAACTTGCGCACTGTGGTATAGTTCAATTCTATTGTGGGTAAAATTTATTCTGATAAAGTCTCACAGTGTTATATTGTAGTAATATTTACTGATGACGTTTCGAGCACAAGCTATTGTTCAGTAAATATTGCTGTATAACACTATTAAAATTTATCAAAATAAATTTTACCAACAATGGAATTATACTCTGTTGATACATCAACCTAAAACTGAGAATTATTTTTATCCTATTTGCAATTAAAAGTGTTCTCTGAGCTGGTTGGTTTAGTCGCGAAGCTTTCGTCGTCCTTCCGGACAACATCTTCAGCGCCATATTTAGCACAAAGTGAGAAGAAGCTATCCTCTGTAACACTTATATACAGTTTTTATGCAATTTTGCATAAATATATATATATATTCCATAGACAAAAATGCCTCCTTCACGTGATTGGTGCTTTCGAGGCCATTTGCTGATTGGTATTTAGTGGTGCTTAAAGTTTAACTTTGCCCGGCCCAGTAGAAATCAGTCAACTGGAGATACAAAGTAGACTTAAGCATTCTAATTTAAATAGTGTTTCGATAGTCTAAGCATTTTAATATGGCAGATTAAAAATTGAAATCACTAGACTAATAATGCATAGACATTTACTTGAAAATTGTTCCGGTTAGCTGTGCATACATTTTGAATCTCAGCCACAAATATAATAACCAGCACAATATAGAGCTTCGAAAAAATGCATTGTGAGTGCTTTGAAAAATTTTAATACATCCTACTCTTAATCTTCTATTTCTTTAATAATCGATTTTGCTTAAAGAGCGACCATTGAACAACTATGTAGTCAGAAACAGGAAAGAAAACACTCAACAGCTATTCTTACTTTTCTTCTTAGATTAGGAAAATGTCTTTCTCATCCTAATCTTGTTATCATTATAGGCGTTTACAACTGTGAAATGAGGTTAGATTTAGAGACTGTGAAAGCCTACGACTTGTAGGCGAGCCTGTGTTTTCTACAAGAATTACCAGTTGTAAATATTGAATAATTAATTTCTGATGCATTCGTTATCATTTAATTTTGTTTATTATTTATTTATTACTCAGATATTTTATTGGGAAGAGGTCATCAACCCAGTCAGACATCTGGTACATCAAGATCAGCAAGTTATCGTCGTATTGCTCGTGCTCGTTGGCATCATTCAACAGGAAGTGTACTTGCCTCAAGCTCGGGTATCACAGCATCAGGCAGTGAAGAGAATTTGGCTGCAGTCAGTAATCGAACATCTCTTTCTCATCAACATTCAGAAGATCTTACAAGTAGTGTCGGTAAATCCTCTCCTTCCTCTGGTAAACCCAGTCAAGCTCCTAAACTGAGTAGATTTCGAGTATCCAAAAGAAGATCAAGATTTTCTTATACACCTCCTGCACATATTGCTTCTGAACCAGAAACAGATGTGACTTGGGAAAATCATGACTGCAGTCATGAACGTCGTCATAGTCGTCCTAGCCACTGTATATCACCTGGTCATCTGAAACGAGATTATCCACATGAGTCACCGTTAACCTCTGTGTGCGCTGTTCGACATACAGACAGTCGATCTCACTCACGTCCAAGACCACGATCAGTCTCCTCGTCAACTTCTAAACTAGCAGGTTTTTGGAATTCTCTTGTATCAGGTGCAGGGATTGGCAATAGTATAATATCAAAACCTCAAATTCAGCATCATCCATCGAGTTCTGCAACGTAAGTAACATTCTAGCGCTGCATTATACTTGATATTTATAAACACTGTAATTTTTAAGGCATGTATAGAAATAACACACGTTTAAATGAAAATTAATACTGTGTTCATTATTATTTTATTCCTCCCCCCCACTTAGACCAACAACTGTTAAACAAGTGAAAGGACATCGTAACTTTTTACGTAACAGCCGTCATACCGGTGAAACACAAATGGGTTTGGTAAAAGCACGTTCCCGTAAATCAAAACATTCCAAATCCAATACAGATGTAAACGATGGCTTAATGAAAATCTCTCCAAGTTCCTTTCTCAATCGTCCACATTCTGAAGGTAATTTCTATGCAGTTAATCCTGCAATCATTTTTTTCTATACAGAAAGCAATGATTTACCATTACTGTCAGGTACATAAACTTAGGTTTCTTTGCAGAGAGCGTTAAAATTCAGCATATATTAAATTTTGTTTTGAGCGATTAATAAACTTTATGATTAGAAATATATTGGTCTGAATTGTTTAGGTTACACTACTACTACTTACGGGAACTTGTTTGCAGTCATTTTTGGAAGCTCTTAGTCAGCTGTGTTTTCTTCCAACATCCACCTTTCACTCGATATCTTGCTTTTCACTTTCCTCTGCTGATTGAACACTATTCTCTGACTATTTATTAACACTGAATTTACTAATACTCTTATTCTTTAACATGATCATACCTTATCTATCTATACATCTCCACTTGATTTCCAGTAATAACATTCTTTCTTCTCCACTGTCCTGGTGATTGTGCTGTTAACTTGAATTCGAAACAGCCTAACAGATCACATTAGCATACATATGCAAACTTGCCTTGTTAATGAATAATTATGTCGAAATTGTAAGTGTCGTCTAACATGATTCTGTCTATAAAAAGAAAAGAGTGTGAATTAGTGTGTTTATTTCGAATTAGTTCATCCATCATGCTAAGGTATATGGTTTCTTTACGATTGGAGAACCAATAAGGTGATGATGAAATCTAATTAACCGTAATAACAATTCTTGAAGTCAAAGTCAAGATCCAGAACAATCAATAGGTCAATTAGACGACATAATGATGAACAGTAATTATAATAATGTGAATCAGCTTTATCAGTTTTTACAAATTGTGTCAAACACTCAGTAATATAAATGAACTATTCAGTGGATTTTTTTTATTCCTTCACGTTCCCAGTGGAACATAGGGCTTCAAGCTGGAGGCTTGAAGTTTCTGTAGCAGTGTTGAGTTTTACAGGAGGGGGTTGCTAGCCTCATACCCAACCTTTCCTCTTTACCAGCTTTATTTCTGGTTTAGCGAGGCAAAGGAGTGCGTCTGTGGCCGGGGATCGAACCCCGGACCATGTGCATGGTCGGTGAGCATCCTAACCGCTGTGCCACCGACGCACATTCAGTGGATTAATCGGATTCAAATAAGACCTATGTAAAAGTTGGAAGGTAGAAGACAAAGGAGACAAAAGAGTGTTCATTTTGTAAAAGTAGTTCGTTGGCACATTGACTTACTTGGTGCACCGAAAAGGTATCTGATTTTTGGAGGTTGGAGGTAACCGCTAGGAGGCCCTGGATCTAGGTTCAGAAAGGCGTACATGCAATACCAAACTAACTGATATCCCGTCGGGGACTCAAGTCCACTTCATTAAGTTCTTCAGTCAGAGACGATACCACTAAGCTATTCATATTGACGTTTGCCCTACTGTAGACCTGTAAAAGATACAATGACTGGTCACTAGGAAGTAACCAGTGTCAATAAAATGTATTTAGCCCTTAATGTTGGAACTAACTCAATTTTTATCAGTCGAGTTTGCAATGTGATCATCAAGCTAGTTGTCTCGTTACAGTGATACGCTTCAGATTCATGTTAATTGGTTAGAAGCGGTTGACAGGACGTCCTGGACCTAAATCTCATGCTTATTGTTACTCTTCAGCAAGGCCTATCTAAGTCAGTATCAACACGATAAACTAGATAAATAATATTGGTTACGCCCTAATAGTTAATCAATGTTATGTAATATGGATGACTCGGACAACAAATGCAAATGGTGGGTTGATGCTATAGATGGTAGTTGCTTCTGTTGTGTAATGTAGACAGATATTTATTCCATATGATAGATTCGCTGGTGTATGATCGGCTAAATGGAGATGGATTAGTCATACGTTGAAGAGACCGTTGAGTGGCATTACTCACCAGAGCCTAAAATGGAACTCGAACGGGAAACTATGAGTTCAGCGTGTGTTCCAGGTGGACATCAAGGAAATCGGTTGAGGAAGAAATAAATACTGTGAGCAATTGTGAAGCCAGCCAAAAGTGATTGCAGAAAACAGAGGGATATGCTGTTGAAGCTCTATGTCCCACTGGGAACCCTTGAGGATAATAATAATAATCGATAAGTGTAAAAATATGGAGTTTTTTTATTGTCCACATCTGTCCCCTACGTTACCTTTTTCGTTTCACCACTTGACAATATCTATGCCAAGATTTGTAGTGTGGTTTAATACTCCATTTTTTCATAACATTGTTTTTACCGAAAAATTGTCTACGTCTATCTGTTGGTGGCTTTTTTTGTTTTTCTAGAGTTACGTTTGGCTGGTCTACTGAATTTACGTGATCCCAATGTAATCCGTTCACCATCACAACTTGATACAACAAATATTACAAATATCAGCAGTGCCTATCGACGTAATTCTCCTGCACCTGTTAACAAATTAACTAATTCACAACGATATGTTGCCGGTGGGAAATATGTTGGATCTCAGCGGATCAATGAAGATTATATATTGCCATCAACGAATAGTACGCCTCAATCGCATTCTCAATCACCGAATAGAATAATTCATAATCGTTCCTCTTCATCACGTAGTTTTGGATGTGTTGATTCCTATCAAAAGTTAGATGTTCTTGGTGAAGGATCTTATGCAACTGTATACAGAGGATATTCACAGTAAGACAACATCACTTTTTACCTTGAGTTCAACTTTATTTTAGTAACCTTTTTTAAAAACTTAAGTCACTATTTAGTGAAAACACTTGAAAAATTTTCGTTGCGACTCCATCAACAGTGATAATGACATTAATGATCATAATAATATAGTGTAACAGCAGAGGAGAAGGGAGTTGATAATTGCTCTTTTTTATCAAGGAAAACTATTCTGATTGGCTGGTGACTAGCCTAAGGTTAACCAAAAGGGTGGAAAGTTGTCCAATGAGATTATTCCTAGACCACAACGTAAACTGAATCCAGATTTTAGGAATAAACACTTCTATCCTTTCAGCCACTGGCTTAAAATGTTGATTTCAACTTTTGACCGATTAGTATTCACCTGTATCTATATAAAGCACACACCAAAATAGCAGATTACCAACATTCTTGTACATATGGACATTATGAACTAAATGAATCAAAAAGTTATTTAAAGTTTTCGTTTAAATGCCTTACAGACTATTTTTTTGTCTGATCATTATGAATTAACAAATGACCTGTCGGAACAAAGCATTCTTTTTCTTCCCATCTGTTTCTTTGCCTTTAGGCTTTCTCACGGTAATTTATATAAAATAATATTATTTGTTAGAAGTATATTTTTCTCGTATATACCGTTAATTCTGCACACGGTCTGTTTCAGTATAGGCTAAAAGAAAACACATGTTATTTGGTGTAAATCTTGTTAAACTTCGCGTACATACTAATAAAATTAATGATCAGAAAGTGCTTCCCAAAGATTCTGTTGTGAAGCACATAGGGTGTAAAAAAATGGTTGGACTGTACATCGGTGGTACAGCGATTAAGACACTCGCCAACCATGAATATGGTTAGGGGTTCTGTCGACGGCCGACGCATACCTGATATCAATGGTCGGCCTGTTGAAAATTCCATATTTGTACCAAAGGTTTGTGTGGAGTCGAGCTATAATAAAAATAAAAATAAAATAACAAACTATGAAACAACATTTTACTGAACTTCATTTAATCTTTTTTTCTTTTCCTATTATCAGACTCGTATTCACCCATCCTAAGGTTTTGCTTTATCTGCTCTCTTCTTTTCTTATATTACTGAGATATATTGCAGCTTTAATTTATTCTCTTCTCGACTGCGGTCTGTTTGCCTGTGTACATCTTTCGAAAGATGCCATAATGTCTTTCAAGATCCTTATTAATTCTTGGCTTACATTTATCAACTGGGGGTCCACTAACCTCCGCCGCCCCCCACACACTTCCGTTTTTAAACTTGGAAAAAGTAAGAACAAACATTGAAACAGATTGACATATGAGTGTATATTATTTCGTGTTGTGTCGTCTTCAGCTGTATATATGACCTGTAACAATTACACAATAAGTTGTAATGGTATTTTTATGATACTATATAGTTCAGTAATGGTAATTAGTTTTCTAATAATGAATAGTGTAACAGCGTCGTAGTGAGGTAGAACATGAGAATGACAAGTTATGTTTTGCTACAATTTTGTATCTAATTAGAACATCCAGGGTAGTGAAATGAAAAAGGAAAACTGATAAGATTTTGGTGAAGCAGTTAAACAAGTTAGGAATAACTGAGCAACAAAACATAATAAAATACAATGAGTAGAGCTTAAAAGATATAAGATTGTAAAATGGTTTGTTAGAAATCGAATTTAAATATGTTGTAAATTGTAATATACACAGCAAATAGAGAGAGCTCAAAGGATTGAAATTATGAAAATCAATAGAAAAAGAAAACAGAATAACGCAATCAAGGTATAGCCACAAGGGTAACTGAAGTCCGATGATGGATTTCTTTGGGTACAAACTAGGTGACATGCGTTTCTTTTGCAATAGCCTCAGCAAATCAATGAAGACTTTGTGTGTGTGTGCTTTCTGTTGATTATTCCAAATGTCCTCAAAGCGCTGATTAAGTGTTTTGTGTCTATTAGGCGTCTGGGGATTGAGGTAATGAAAACACTCAGTCTCTTTTAATCGTTCCCTCTTTCTTACATGCTCAGAAAATCTGATGGAAGCTTTATTCTATGACGCGAAAATTTATAAGTATGAACAGATACTTGGAACCCCTTATAGGAATATGTGAAAGCAAGGGAAGAAGTACCTAAATCAAACGACTTAAAACTAGCACGTAAAGTGAAATCTACAAGTTAAGTTTGGAAGCAAGCTTTTATGTTCCTTGAACACGTATTTATTCGTGTTATTGTTTTCATTATCTAGTATACTGTTTCCATGCTTGCTCTTCCTAATGAGAGAGAGAATGAGAAAGAGATGACGTAGTGAAGAAATCTACTCAAATGTGCATCAGTTTCAGCTACGACAATTCAGCGTACATAAAAAACGCTTCCAAAAGTAAAATCACATAACATGTGCAGACATGAATTAAGAAGAAAAAATAATATATAAAGTATTGGTTTTGTAGAGATTTTTTTTGATTGGTTGGAGGATTTCATCATGAGGTGACATTGGTTAGAGAACCAATGGAAAACCTGGGAGTACTATAGAGCTGTTTCGTCCTAGTTTGGGACCCTTCATCGGCATGTACCCACTGCCAGAATTCGAACCCAGGACCTTCTGGTTACAAGGCGAGCGAGCGTGCAGACCATTAAGCCACTGGGACCTGATTAAATGACCAGTGTACGAATTCTAACTTCTGCCAAATTATGACATAGTGTGACCGCTACGCAATGTCTTCTTCGATGAGTTACTGCCTCACCTTCTCTAACTGATATCAATCCGTGGTCTAACTCAAAAAAAAAACAAATGTAATCCTTTCAAACCAGCTCTTGGTGAAATCCTCCGACCAATCAAATAAATAAAGATTAGTACGGTTTTTCGTACTGCTGGCGTACCGCCGATGATTCCCAAACTAGGATGAAACAGCTGTCCAGTACTCCTTGCTGGTTTTCAATGGTTCACTAACTGATATCAATCCGTGATCAACTCGTAAAAACAAAACTAATTCTTACAAAACAATTATAGGAAAGTAATTAATCTACATTGTGTGAATGGTTTCATGCTATTTCACTCTTAGTCGCATCCATTTGACTTTACACATGGCTGAGACTAATAACAGGGTACTTTTCTTCAGACTGTTTAGACCTACATTTTTACCAAACTAATACTTACTTTAAACAGATGTGTGTAACGCATATGAGATAAAAAGATAGGCATTTTGTTAGAACATAATTCCATATTAATTTGTTTACTTTGCGTAGTACACACATCAATACAGTATTTGTTTTATTGGATGACATTTCAAGCACTATATTTATGGCTTACAATCATATCAAATTGATCATATAATTCTCAGTTTTCTTGGTACATAAAGCCGTCGTTGAATCGTTCTTGTTAAATGTATTGATTATTGTATTGATTGACTCATCAACTTCTCCCTAAATTATATTGCCTTGTATTTTAAGACTTCTATTCTATTCCACTTTGTAGTGTGACGGCAAACCTCAATAGGTTGAACAATATTGAGGTTAGGCTTCAGTCGAGTGCTAGGTAAAGAGGGGAAATCAATAGACGAGGCTGGGAAGTTACATCGACTGAGATGGTTAGGACATGTGTTATGAATGCCTAGCTATTGCCTTCCTCGACTGACGGGCAATGTTAGCTGATATAGGATCAGGATAGAAAAGAGCCACTGGTGGTCAAACCAAAGCATGGCTTCATCAGTCAATGAAATTTACAACAGTTAGTTAAAGCCAGCCATCCACGAAGGGAGGTGTAGACTTCCTGGTTGGGGTCCTCGGGACGGTAAAAACCAATGGTTGGAAACAATTGGTGATGTGGCTCAAAATCGTTCTCAATGGCTGGCGCAGATGCATCCACTCCTTGTGACTTATAATACCCAATAAAACTGTATTGTTCTTCGATATTACTATTCCTTTTCCATCGTATCTCTATTGACTGTTTCTGTTTTGCATTTCTTTCTACATTCTTCTCTTGCTTTGTGTGCTATGTGGAGAGAGTGTGGCAACTCGAACTGCTGCACATCGGTGCAAAGTTCTATGTCGAAACCAGTCAGTCAGTCAGTCAATTTGACTATAGGTCAGTGTTTTCATTGACACTGAACTTCTTTTGGCTAACAGTAGAAGCTGTTTTACTCAACTTTTCAAATACATTAGAATAAATGAGTCTGAATTCTATTTCACTCATAATCTTATGTCTTTGAATATCTTAGCAACATGCTTTGTGCCGTCAGTCCTTGATATCAGATTACTTATTTCACTAGGATATTTTAGCTGCTTACTTTGACATATGTACACGACCTTGGCAAATTAACTTGCTTTTTTTGAAGACCATTCATGGCATTTATGTCTTGTTGTGAACATTGTAATTTCTTTATTGAGACCATTTATGAAGTTATGTGAGTATATATATATATATATATATATATATATATATATATATATATATATTAGATTTTCAAAAGAAATCTTGGTGAAAATTCATCTCGGAGTATGTGTTTCACTAGTAATGATTTCTTTTCTAAAGTGTATACTTTTTACTGAACGATCTTTCGTTGACTTGAAGTTGATAAGTTTTTTATTATTTGAGATGAGGTAATGTTTTGCTCTCATGTGCCAGTTCTATGATAGCAATTGTTATGCAGCTTGATAAATTGATGTACTAGTTTATAAGACGACCCTCTTATTTTGCTTCGACATTATGCGTTCTGTTTTGTTATTAGTTTCTTATGACGTATGTACATAACGGTGGAAGACAAGAGGCTGGGTAACAGAATGTTTATTTGGAATTTGAGATCTCTATATAAAGAAAGCCTTCGGGAAAGCCAGTCAGCCGATGTGCCTTCTTTCGATGAAAGCAAAAATAAGGATGGGGACGTGGAATGTCCGTACAATGTACGAAGCTGGGAAGGCTGCTCAGGTAGCCGCAGAAATGAGGAGATATAAAATAGAAGTGTTGGGAATCTGCGAGAGCAGATGGAACGGATGTGGAAGG